AGCGGCGGCGGCGGCGGCGGCGGCGGCGCTGCAAAAGCTCCAGCCCCGATCCTTTCCCCTCGGACTCGAAGGGGCAGCTGGAGCCGGGCCGGAGCCCTTCCCTCCCCCACCTCCTTGTCCGCCCTCCCACCCTCGCTCGCTCCGGCGCAGGGCAGCTCTCTCTCTCGCAGCAGCAGCAGCAGCAGCCGCCCTGATGCCGAGACATGGATAGAGCCACGGTCGCGCGTGGAGGTGCCCAGAAGATGGTCGAGAGGAAGGAAGGTGGCGGCGGGGCAGCAGCTGGAGGAGGAAGAGGAGGAGGAGGAGGAGGCGGCGGCGGCGGTGGTGTTGGCGGTGGCTGCCGCCGACCCCGGGCAGCCGGGCTGGGCCGAGCCGGCTACGCTCTCCAGCAATGCGGCCAGCTTCAGGACCTGATCGACATCTCGCTCTCCAGCTTGCAGGGGCTCCGCACCAAGTGCGCCGCTTCCAACGACCTCACGCAGCAGGAGATCCGCACCCTGGAGGTAGGCAAGAGCCAGGCGCCCCTCTCCGCCCGACCCACCCGCGGGGTAGCCCCTCAAAGGATCCCCACCATCCTCAGGGCGCGCAAGCAGAAGCGTCTAGCTTCCTCCCCCCTCCTCGCTCGTCGCTGCCCCCTGGAGGGTCTTCGGGGCTTTGCAGCTCGCTTCCCTTGATCCTGCTGTGGGGGTAGCCGTGAGGGTGGGTGGGATTTTTTTATTTTTTTTGCGTGGGGTGGGGTGGATGGTTGGGTATCCGATCCTCTCCGGCTTCCTTCCCCGAGGAAGGCTTTTTCAGACACGCGCGAGAGATGTGCGGCGGTTGGTGTAAACTTTCCCCGCCTTCCTCAAAGCCACCGTTCTCCCAAAATGGGTTTATTTTAGAGGTTTGTTTTGTTTTGTTTTTTGAGGAGTGGGGATGTTATCTACTACTTGAAGTCCTCCAGACTTAAACTTGCCAAGGTTTGGAGACCCCTGATCTAGGGGACTTAAGATCGTGGAGTCTTTTATTCTCCCCTCAAACTCTTCGATACGCCCATGTTGGGAGACGGCGGTTTAAGTAGATGCAAAAAGAGATGCGGTGCGTGGTTTCTTGCCACTCGTGAAGGCGATGAGGCAAAAAAAAAAAAAAAGACAGGGATCGAAGCCTTGCTTGGGTTTTGTCCTTTTAATGAATCGAAAAGGCGTAAGACAGTAATGTTAGGAGCGTGTTTGGATCTCGCTGGCAGGTTGTGTCTTCATTATACCCCCTCTTCCCCAACATAATTTACCCATCATTTACTTCACTTTCCTGGGAACGGGAGCTACTTACTCAGCGGTAACTGCCCCTGTTTGAAGCGACCTTACATTGGTGCGAGCGAAAGATAATATTGTTCTCTTTGACTCCTTTGACAAGGCGTAATAATCCTTGGCTGACTTAACCGTGGTTAACTGAATTACGCCCAGTGTACTGAGTTCATAAGACACACTGAACCAGGGATATCTGACTCCCGTCCAAATGCTAAGCCTCATCCAAAACCCTCTTTTAACCTAACACCCATCTTGGGTGCGCCCATCTTTTTCTGTATGGATGAGTTAATTTATATTGCCATCATCCAGTCAGTCATCCCCCCCCCCCCCCTAGAAATTATAGGTACTGGAGAATTATTTTCCCTTCAGTCTTCTCTCACCTGTTGTGGAAAGGTGAGTCTGCTTGCAGTATACAGGTATAATCCCGAATAAACCATACTTCTTTTCCAATGGATGCTGCTGTTTATCGAAGCATGTTGGTTTATAGACAGAGCCACTTTTCTTATTTTGCCTGAAAATAAATTCCTCCAAGCAACGGATCAAGCAGCCTAAACAACAGAAAACACTTGATAATAGAGAAACTCCCAAGAGAGGGATCCAAATGGCTTTTTGCCAATCTTTCCTAAACTGGCTTATTTTTTATAAACGCATGTTTTCTTGGGAAAGAAAAAAAAGGGAATGTGTATATAATGGAGTGTCTCAATGCATTCCATGCTGCAAGGAAAGGAAATGCTTGCTTTTTGACTCGGAGGGGTGGACGTAAGTGACTATCTTCCTGCAATAATAGATTTTTTTTAAGGGAGGGGATTTCTTTGCCCCCTTCCTGCTTGGATATTTTCGACTCACCTTGGTGGCCTTTACTTAGACAAGATATACATGCTGGCATCTTGGGGTGCATTTATTTGTTAGAGGTGGGGGGAAATGAAGAAAATTAGCTCCTGTTTTGGTTCGTGTTCTCTCTGTTTGCATAATATGCTAAACCAAACCAAGCAACCATATTTTAACATGTGAACCCAGCCCAGTGGTGGTATTCAAATAAAGTTGCCACCGGTTCGGTGGGCGTGGCTTGGTGGCCGCACTTTGTGCGCATGCACATACTTTCCGTGCACGTGCGTGCCAAACACGCACTTTGCGCAGGCGCAGAGGCGTTCTAACTTGCCTCCTGCAAGCCTGCACGATGGTGGTCGCTGCAGCAGTTGCAGCGCGGCGCTATTCTGCGCCACGCAAAGCAGCTGCGCTTTGAATTCTGGCCATAAAAATGAGTATGGGAGCCCTGGCGGGTGGGCCAACCACAGAGCAGTGAAGAGAACCAGTTCGGTCTCCACTGCTCATCACCTCTACAGGTTCTCCAGAACCGGGCAGAACCAGTCGAATACCATCACTGACCCAGCCTATGTTGGTGATTTGTGGTAGAGGTAGTCCTCTATTGCGACCACAATTGAACCCCAAATTTATGTTGCTAAGTGAGAAATGTGTTAAGGGAGTTTTGCCCCATTTTACGACTTTTCTTGCCACATTTGTTAAGTGAATCACTGCAGTTGTTAAATTAGTCACACGGTTGTTGAGTGAGTCGGGGTTTCCTCTTTGACTTTGCTTGTGGGAAGGTTGCAAAAGAGGATCGCATGATCCTGAGATACTGTGATCATAAATGTGAGTCAGTTGTCAAGCATCCAAATGTAAATCACACGACCATGGAGATGCTGCAACGGTCATAAGAAAAATGGCTGTAAGTCATTTATTTCAGTGCCATTGGTCACTAAGCAAATTGTTATAAATCAGTGAAGTTTTTTCCTGAACGCTATCACTCTGCTAAATAAATAATTCCCTCGACACTGTTCAACTATTACAAAGTCTGCACTACTATTACTATTAATCTTCTCATTACTCCTTATCACCCATCCCCTCCCACTTGTGACTGTATGACTGTAACTTTGTTGCTTGTATCCTTACATAAATTTATATTGACTGTTTCCATGCATTTGATTGCTTATTGTACCCTATGACTATCACTAAGTGTTGTACCTTATGATTCTTGACTCTCGACGAATGTATCTTTTCTTTTATGTACACTGAGACCATTTGCACCAAGACAAATTCCTTGTGTGTCTAATCACACTTGGCCAATAAAGAATTCTATTCTCTTCTATCAAGGACTACCTGTATTGTGAGTTGTGCAAACTCAGAAAAGTGAGTTGAGTGAACACAGTTAAGTTAGTCCTACACCTTGTCTGATCTCAAAAGACAAAGTTAAGTGGGGTCCTTGGTGCTTTCTGAACTTGGTTGTTTGCTTGCAGACATTTCATTACCCAACTAGGTAACATCTTCAGTGTTAGAAGGGAGTGGAGTTTGCTCTGTCTTTATATATGATGACTTGCCCTGTCGTTGTAGGTGGGAGTGTTGTTTTCTCCTTGGTCGTTTGTTTGTCTCTGTTGGGAGTTCCTTGATTGGGGCATTGTCTACTGCTTGATTGTGGATCGGGTATTAATCGTGGTGTTAATCCCTGCTTATTTGGGTGCTGATTGCTGGCCAAGAGGGTGTTTTGGTCATTTTATTTCCTTTTTAGCTTTTTGATTCTCTTTCTTGAATAGTATAAATGCAGGTTATCTTATGTGCCTGTGAATGGCTGATTTGTCTTCCACAAATTCCCTAGAGTTTTTGGATTTATCTTGGTCTAGGACAGGGGTCTCCAACCTTGGCAACTTTAAGCCAAGCGGACTTCAACTCCCAGAATTCCCCAGCGAGGGAATTCTGGGAGTTGAAGTCCGCCAGGATGCACTCATGGATACGCTCTGGTAGTCTTCTGGCCATCTGTCCTGCATACAACCTGTTACAGCAGGTTAAAATGTTAGGGGGAATAGGATTGGATCTGGTTGATAAATGAACCTACTAGGACAGGGGTCTCCAACCTTGGCAACTTTAAGACTGGTGGACTTCAACTCCCAGAGTTCCTCAGCCAGCAAACTGGCTGAGGAACTCTGGGAGTTGAAGTCCACCAGTCTTAGAGTTGTCAAGTTCGAGACCCCTATGCTAGGATATATCCAAGGTTATGGGCTTAAATAGAAAATAGAAAGAAAATCCTGAAAGAAGGGAAAGATTTCCCTATGGGCGTAGGGAAGATAGCTATACGTAGTGATCAACTGGAGTCAAGTTTGATTTGCAGAGTCTTTGCTTTTTTTTTTTTTTTTGATAATTGTATCCTTCTGCCTATTTTTATCCATGAAAAACAACAGGCATTATTTTGATTTGGGTATTAAGCTCATCGCGTTAAACCATTCCAACCCTCACTTCCAAATTTTGAAAGGTAAAAAGGCTATTGATTAACTGCTCTTAAATAAATGAACAAAGTGCAAGAGGTTTGCTTACTGAAATTAAAATTTAGTTCATACCCTCAAAGCAAACCAGACAATCTTCTGCACAAAAGCTTTATTCACGAGGGGCGCCTCAGTTTTGCAATTTCTCCAGTTAGCACTTTCTGGTGCTAACACTTCTGAACTTGCAATACCCCCTTCCCCTCTCCCTTTCCCCCTCCCTCCAGCCTGGATTAGCCTGGCATGCTTAACCAGGTCAATAGCAGGGTAAGCTTACTGTGGAAACATAAGCAGCAGGTCAGCAGTGGGACAGCATCTAAGTCTCACCTGTCAGTCCTCCAAGAAAAGGAGCTGGAGGGGTAGATAGGCAAGAGGGTGGTGTTGCAAACTCTCTAACATGGCGCCCTTAACTGATGGGTTACCGGCACAGTCTTCAACTCTTGTCTCCTACTGCTCAAACAATAGGGAAGGGTTCATTTGCATATTAAATTCTCCTCCGTATTCTCCTAGTATTAAGGGCTTACAAGATCACCCAAGCAAAAATGTAAAAAGGACAAATTATAATAGAATAACAGAGTTGGAAGGGACCTTGGAGGTCTTCTAGTCCAACCCCTTGCTCAGGCAGGAAACCCTATAGCATGTCAGACAAATGATTATCCAATCTCTTCTTAAAAACTTCCAGTGTTGGAGCATATACAACTTCTGGAGACAAGTTGTTCCACTAATGAATTGTTCTCACTGTCAAGAAATTTCTTCCTAGTTCCAGATTGCTTCTCTCCTTGATTAGTTTCCATCTATTGCTTCTTGTCCTGCCCTCAGGTGTTTTGGAGAATAGCTTGACTCTCTCTTCTTTGTGGCAGCCCCTGAGATATTGGAACAATGCTATCATGTCACTCCTAGTCCTTTCTT